AATATAAATGCATCTTATTTATTTTCCATATTATAAATTGTCCTGTCAATGCATATTATAAATTGACCTTTTATGGAGGACATTTTTTTAAATAAGAGAAAAGGGACAAGCGCTGTTGCTATGGCCTTAGACACTCGAAATTTGTCCAAACTGAATGTTTGGCCAAATTTCGAGTTCCATCTTGGAAATCCATTATTTCCGAGCACGCAAGACTTTATTCTTCTGGATTACGTATAGGATAATAGTAGATATCTTCTTTTTCCATTACTTTTTCCATTATTTGTGCTTTTGAAGATAAGAGCTTGTGACAGTTGACACTACCGAACTGACACTAACCGTAACGCTAACTATAACCGCCCAAAATCGGGCGGTTATGATTAGTGTCAAATATGACGTTATTTTGACCAGCGCAAAACTGGTGTAGCGAATATCATGAACATCCGAAGACGTAACCATCGGGAATGTGCTGGTTAAGGTTTATAGTTAGTTAATGTAACTCATCCTTAGTAAATTTTAAGATTATTACAAATATTACCATTTCAAATAATTTTAACTTTAACGGTAACCGGCGATATGGTGCAACTCACCCTTAGTAAGATATTTTGACATTCCTAATTCATCGTTTCGTATTTTTGTCTGTTGCTTTATTTTTATTGCCTTCATCGCCTACGTAAAATTTTATTTCGCAATAAATTACATTTGAGTTATTAATCGAGTCGATAATTTAAATAATCGATTCCATTAATAACAGCTGGCCACTTACAACGCTATAAAATCATTTCGCGGTAAAAAAAAAGAAAATCGACGCTTCCAAATTCATCAGTATAACAGGGGTTCATTAAAAGTTGCTTGGGCGGACATTTCGAGATCGGGCAACGTAAACTTTTACCAACCATAGCTGGGAATAGGTTAATTATCCCGTGCTGCGAACAAAAATGGCCGTGTTTTAATTATGGGTCGGTTTAATTGCGTTAACTGGGGGGTAATGCTCGATGTTTTGACGTAAATCGCACCCCGGAATGTGTTTTATTATACTGATAAGATCATCGGGATGACCAATTGTGAAGTTAATAGCTTTTTAAAGCATATTTTAAGTTATAAAAAAATACAAACAAGCCAATTAAAATAAATTAAACATTTCTTCAGAATATTTAGTTACTATTGTGTCTAGTTTACATTATTACATTCCAGCGAACAAATCTTGCGCTGGACTGGAATGAAATAAACGAGCATTCAGCTGACATATGTTCTTACCTCTTTATTGCAATTATTGACTAAATTTTATTTATTAGCTTTATCTAAAATTCAAATGTAACTCAAGACGTTTCATTCAAAAGGTCCTATAATTTTTTATTTCATAAGTCTCCCTATATTACTAATCCGATCATGTAGTCACGGATATATTTGATATGCGCATAAATTATAAGCAAAGAAATTGTATGAGTGAAACGAAATAACATGGGTCGATATAACGTTCATACAAACATGGTCGATGAGCTCTGACATGTAACTTAACTCACGTTCTTTGGGGCTTGCCAAATAGGTTTAACAATAATTGCTATTGATTTGAGATAAGGTTGTATTTCGCTTGTATATATTTAAATCACGCAAGTGACGTCATCATTTACTTAATAGAATTGCAGTTGTAAACAAGGTTCAATGCAATTTACAGTTTTCATTACATTTTAAATCAACTATAACTTGATTTAACAAAGTTAATATAGATATGTTCATGCACCTATTAACATGTATCCATGCCCCGATGAACGGTGAAGTCGAGGGAACCAGAGGGGTTGTAATGGGTAGGCTCCACGTTCCTTCCCTCTTGGCCAGGGATGTGGAGAGAGTCCCAGATACCCTGTGTGTCTTTCCCCAAGGCACCTGGGATGCGTAACGCATTCCCCCTCGTAAAAAAAGGTATTTTCATACACTAGATCTTGCTAACAACAATAATTACAAAAAAATCTTTAAAACCCTGAAATTGTAAACATTTTTTAAAGAACATGTTTGCTTTAACAATAAATTATTTCCTATACAACAAATGTTGAGTATTGCTTTGTGGTATATGAAACTGTCACAGAGGCGCTATCCAGAGCACACACGGCGTAGAAATAAGCCGGGCTTCGGGCAAATAGATTTTACGTAATACATTGCGGGAACATCGCGAAGTAGGTCAGTAACAAAGCCGACGGGATGGGTCGTCGCTTCATTATGCGCCACTGGTACATAACAGTACAACACTGATTGAATTACTTCTGATATGGCTGTGGAAAGGTTCAACCAAAAACCCCCAACGCGTTACTCTATCTTCATCTTAGTGCGTATTTCCAATAGCGGTGAGCGGCTTTCATTTTGTAAAGAAGACGAAAGACGTGGCATGAAGGCAATACTAGTCAACAGTGGAAATTATTTTTATCCTTTATGACTAGTAAGACATCCTCTGCATCGGGTAGGTAGACAAATGAAATTGCCGAGATAGTTAACAGATGATTTTTAAATGGTCCAGTAATTATTAAAAAGTGGGAATATAGAGGAAAAGGTATTTTAAATCCAACGGTTCACAACTACATTATTCCTGTAACGTAAAAGAGTTGAATGAAATAACGCACGTGTATTTTACAAAACACACTCAAGCGTTTCGAAGGCCTCCTTTAGTGCGCTGTAGAATGAATAAATTTTCCAGGTTTTATTGCGTGAAGCTTTTGAAATTCAAGTGCCAACATACAAATACATAGATATGTGGTTTTTTCATCGTGAAAAGCTTTCGTCACACTTCTTCTTTGGCTTCTTTGTTAAATAAATTTATTATGTGGTTTGTTTTTAATTTTAGTGTGGGAACAAAAAAATACTATTCAAAAAAGACTAACCTGATACATGCGTGGAAAGAAATTTGTTCCACGTATTTCTGCGATATGGTGATGGGTTTCATTTTGACAAACGTAACTGACTCTAGAGATCTGAATTTAAGACAATATTTTACAGCGATCAACAAAAAAGCATCAGCCTTTAACTCATCATCTTTGTTTTCAAAGAGAATGAAAGAGACAACAATATGTTTCTATACAAGTTTTACAGTGTAAACTCGCAATAAAGCGAATCATACGTATTAAAGTTCAATCTAATTCGAATTCAGAATGAGACCGCAGCCTGCGCGGCTCTGTGCGGTTGCAGTTTGCGGTTCCCATGTATTGCAATAGTATGACCCTCGTACTAATCTTTACATGCTAATTTTAGATATATGTACTAGACAATAGAAATGAAAATAAAATAAAGATATGCCTAAAACATATACGCGTAAAGGTATATCTAGTATAAGTGGAATAGAAATTAAAAGCCTGTCGTAAGTAATGTACATAGCCTATACTAATATTATAAAGAGGAAAGATTTGTATTTTTGTATGTAGTGAAATCAAAAACTACTGGACCGATTTAGAAAATTCTTTCACCGTTAGAAAGGTAATTTGTCTGTGAGTAACATAGGCTATATTTTTACGCGGGTGAAGTCGCGAGCAACAGCTAGTAAACTTAATTTAGTTACAGTTACAAAAATCACGCATATATTTAAATATTTCTCCAAAATAAATGCATTTATCATTTATTTAATTATGTTAAATAACCTGCAATATCTTCAAGGTGCTTATTATAAATTCTACCGTCTTGAAGGGATCGGGACGTTATCTGCATACTAAAATTGCACGTCTATCTCTTAAGGAGTTTCATTCTCACGTAAATGCGATTTATTACAAAGGATAAGAGTTTGATAAAGGTTTTAGAGTAAAATAAATCTTTATGCATAATAAAGTACTTAATTATCTCGTACTTTATGTTTAAAACTATAGTATTTTTATGTAAGTTTATTTAGTAGACAAAGAAAGTTACGGCATTATAATATCTCAGACCAAGGATAATTAGAGGCGGAAAAAATATTATTTCTAATCGAATAATCGTATAGAGCGATTCGATTAATCGAACTATCGAAATGCGTGTAAAAGTCTGCTCAATCGTCCGATGTCCGGGGTCTGCATTGATTGTACGTTGCCGACAAGATTAATGGAGATTCGAATTCTAATTGGATAGGCGCTGTACTGTAAACATCACGGGGTAGCTGGAATTTGTAATGACTAGTTAAAGCAGGGATATTCCCTTTATAAGCTTTGGCGTCTATTTTAGGCAATTAGTACAGATATAGGGTACACACTTCCCTCCTTATAGGGTTGCCACAATAGATTTTCGTATTTCATAATCTACGGTACCATCCTTGATATGAATCGTCACTTTTTATTCATGACAATTACATGGTGAAATTAGATTTTAAGACAGAATAGTATAACAGCACGTGTCGAGAACTATTTGCAGAAAATAAACTATATATTCTACAGTTAGATATCTATTAGAATATTGATGTCCCTAGAATATAAATATAATATAAAAATTGAATCAAGTCCCAACAATATTGCACAATAAAAGGTATCCTAAAAGTATTCCATATAACCTGAGGTAACTTAATATATTGAAAGCATACGACAAATGATAAAGTATTTCAGCAATTCTTTTGATATCCCTTGAGCATAAGTGGATTACTGCGCATGGCTTGGGTCAGGGCGAGCGCGACGTGCATACAATAACAATTTTATAGTAGTGGCAGAGTTGGCACATGGTGTAAAAGAATACTATTGGTCCTGACGGGCCAACTCAAATGTCTGGTTACAATATACCTTAAGCTACGTTCACTTGCTATAAAATTTACGCATTCTGATGGAATCGATTGCAATTTAGATTTTACCTTTAGAATTCTATACATTCTAAATGCTGGTGCTCTTTGCTGGTGATATTCAACTTTTTTTCAGCATACTATCCTTTGCCCTACGGATGGTCAGCATATTCTTTACTCTACTGTACATCTTTATCAACTGTCATATTTGAATTAACTATTTTACGTATATGGTATCGGTATTCCACAGTTATATAGTCTGTAACAAAGTTAATAATTCAATACATACCACGAGTGCGTATCGCACCCGTCTTTCCGCCACAGCGTATGGCTCCCTATTATGCTGCAGGTGGCGACCTGGAAACAAAAAAAAAAACAGTTACAGATTATGAAATAAAAAAAGACTAAAAACATACACAAGCATTCATTTTTATCTGTCTTTCAAAGAGTAAAAAAGTAGTAGTAATTTTGAAACCGTATTTCTAAAGACAGTTACATATTAACTCATCTATAATTTATCATAGAGTAAATAGGTTTCAGAGTAACAACTCTACACTTTAGGTACTTAAACTGTATTCGACATTTCTGTCATCAATAACGTTAAATCAAACTATGTAGTTTTCATACGATTTGTACCGGTCAAAACAATTATAGCAGTTCTTAACACGGATACAGGCGAGGTTGAATTCCAACGCAACATTTCCCCGAAAGCTATTTCTGACGTTGGCTTGAATAATGATCTGGTAACGATTAATGAGAAAATAGGGAATGTTAGGGGCAGGCGTGTACTGGAACGTACGCGACTAGCACACCGTCCACAATTATGTTTATGAGTATAGAAGGCGGCATTCGATTTGGCACACAAGGTGCCAGGAAACTCTTGTGTTTGCCGTGTCAACTCAATGGTCACATTCGAATGATAGTCGATAAAAAGAAAGCAATAATTGTGATTGGTTAATTCCAATAATTCGAAGCCAAGAAGACTTTTTGATACGTAGCTCTTCTCTTAAAGCTTAGAATGGTTTTAATGTAAATAACTTACTTGATACTAAAAGACTTCATTTTATGATAAGTCGATGTCCTATTAAATAAACTGTTTCTTTTGTAGTTTCTTAGAATCACGAGAAAATACAAGCTAATACCCTCGAAATTTGATTTCGATAAAATTTATTTTCTTTGAATTCTGACTCGCTAACTTTTGTACCATCAATTTCATTGCTTACTAACGTCTTTACAAACTTTTGGGGAAGTTGTATCGACTTATAAAAGCTTTCGTCTATAGAATAATTAATCAAACGCAACAAACGCCGGTGAACTTTCAACTGAACATAACCAAAAGAGTAAAAGATATACTACAATGGTGAAGATATATGACTAGAAACTATGACAATGAAAATGCTAGAGTTTTTGTAGGTCACCTAGCAACCACCTATCAAGGACATAATCTACAAGATACAATTTACAATGCTCACAAATAATAACCATTAAAAGTAAGCTAAACAAATGAATCAAATACCTTAAAATTTATTAGAAGAAAATATTTATACTATTTTCAGTAGCAAATAAAAACTTGAAAATTGTTCCAAATAATTTTAGTTTAACTTGTTGTATACCTTAACACTAAAGCCTAGGGATGATTTTTGGATGCGATCTCAAAACCACCTTGATGTCCATAATACCAATCAGCTGCGGTTAGAGTCAAAACAAGTTGTTAACCAAACAGTGTCTAGTATTTTCAGGGGTAATACAATCAAGAAGTATGCACAAAGTCAAGTCAAGAATGCGCAAAGTCCTAGAATAGGCAAATTATTGGTTGACATAATGCAATATAGCAACAATAAACTGTCAAGTCAGTACAAGGTACAGGCAAACCGTACAATAATAGGTTTACGTTCGCCTAATGCCCTTAATCTGATAGTAGCTACAGTTTACTTGTTACATAATAGACCGAGTTTCGACTGGGAACAAAGGTTTTCGTACACTGCCTAACAAAAGTAACCCTTATCTAAATTGCCCCAAGTGACTACATTGTTTTTGTTCAGCTAACCTATCTTTTTGTATTTTATAGGTCGTTTAGAAATCAAAATTATTTTGTTATTTAAATATTTAGATAAACGAAACACTTTAGTAATTATGGTCCGTACAGGCGACAATTTACAAATCAAGTAATCTGTGTGTATACTAACAAAGTTGCAAATTCAACTAATACAGAGTACTCAGCATTTAGATTATTAGAACAAAATTTAATCAAACAATAACAGTACGAGTAACCAGTTACAAAATCATCAACGTTTTAGCACCGTCCTCGGAAGCCTGTCCAAACATCAAACGAACACCGAACGAGGCAATAACTCAATACAGCCGAAATAAAGCACACAAAAGGAGGGGCGAGGCCAGTACAAATAATCAATTAGGGACGACGTCTTTGGTAGAATAAACATTTGCCTACTGCGGCAACAGGCCTTGAGATGCTGCGAGCATTTTCTAAAATCCACAACAATATCTATTTAATTCACGTAAAATCAACAGGCAAGTAACAATAGTATCTATCAAATGTCACGAACTCGGAGAATTGCGGTCTGTAGTTCAATTTGCCATACTCGGACCGCCACTAAAAATACTGGCATCCGTACTCCAAAAATTCCAAGCAGTCGTGTATGTCAGGCCATGGTCTAAAAATAGCAACTAATTTGTGATATAAGTAAGGTACCACATAGATACAAGAAAGTAAATATTCAGGCCTACACTTTCCTGGTTCTATGAGTAGAAATTATTTAACTACACAATAGCATTAAGAGCACTAACTTAATACAGTCTTGCTAATAGTTCATCATCACCAGCTCACTATACGTCCCCACATCAAACACAAGATGGTAAACTAATACTAACAATAACTATAAATGTGGTATCAACGTTTCTTCACCATAAAGATAAAAAACATATTTAAGAACATACGTAAATATGTAATTACAAGTTACTTTAATTGTCGTGGCAATAATATGCAAAGTATTTAAAAGTATTACCTTATCAAATATTATCAGCGAACATAAAATACAACTTACCTACTGCAGTTAGGAGATTTAAACTCAAGTACGTGACATAATGAGATAAGCAGATATATTAAATTACAAATTTTACATCAAAGCTTCTTTAATTTTTTAAAGTTAACGACCTGGAATAACTGAAATCACGAAGTGAAGTATACCCATAGACTATGTACAGTATTTAACAGTGGTAGGGCCCGCTTTAATGTCTTCGCACGAATTGTCCGGCTCGCCCGGTGTAATACCACGACCACACAAAACAGGCGTGAAGTGGACGCAATTCCGCATTTCGTCTGGTGAGTGTGGTGCCGGAGGCCTAATTTTAGTCCCTTTCCCTTTTCACCCTTTACTTAAGAGGAAAGGATAGGAAGGAGAAGTGGATTTCACGGTGGAGGAGGCGCATAGAAAGAGGAAATATCCTCCTTATATGCGTCTCCTCCTCTGTCAATGAAGGGCAGGCAACGCACCTGCCATTGCGGATGTTTATGGGCAGCGGTCGCTTTCCATTTCGGTGGATTCAGTGCTCGTTTGCCACCTTATATTATATTAAAAAAATGTACAATTACAGAAGCGTCACTTCTTACCTTTAAACGCCAAAAGCCATTTTCTTATTAGAAAAAGTTGCAATTATATTTAAAACAATTTATTTTAATAATTTGATATTTAAATTATCTTCAGTGTTGTTACACTACCGAATTTGGGACACGACTTTGAAACGTTATCAAAGGAAAAATACTTTATCTTATAAAAATCACATTAAAGATTATTAAATATTTGTACAGAGCTTCCTAGATCAAATTAAATGATAACAAAACGGGGACGGGTGCACTAGTGTTGTGCGTGATTATCAAATCACAGTATTTGTTCCGCGGTCTTAATGATAAACAATCACTTATAAAAGTAGCAAAACAGATAACAATGCTATTACATAATTACAAATTATTTTAATTAAAGACAACGATATTCGGCCGTTCTCACTTCTGATGGAGCTCTTCATCAATGCAACCAAACGACATCCTTATTCCGACACAGCATAATAGTGATGTGCAACTAAAATCCGCACCAGATTATTGATTGGTTTGGTATAAAAATCAACTAGAAACAAGGAAATGAATCACCGAGTCTTATTCTGTACCCGTAGCATTAGTGATGACTTCACCACTGTTGCGACAACGGATGGATTCTCCGATTTAAAAATACTTCAACGTTACACATTGCGATACAAACGGGTATTGTTTTATAACTAGTGTACTAGGGCTGCCAAAAACGGGTAACAACGACTTGTGAAGACTTGATTCCTGGCGTATGATAAAATAGAAGAAAACAGCATAATCAGTGACTTACATACTGACGAAGACATCGAAATAGCAGGTGAAACTTGAATAGGTGACAACCCTAGAACGTTTCCGAGTTACGTTAGCAACATTTTATTCACCGATTTAAATGCCATTATCGATACACTGTAAGTAGCATTGTATAGTAGTGTTTTTCATTACACTAATATTACAAGAAATGTGTTTTGTGCTTGTATCAAATAATCTTAACTAATGGACTGATTTTATAAACTTCTTTTACTATTAGAATGCTACATTATCCCTCAACAAAAGGCTATATTTAGTACTGTTATAGAATGCCCTTATAAAGAGGAAAGATTTGTATTTTTGTATGTATTCGTTCACCATTTATCTGTGAGTAATATAGACTATATTTAGTATTTTTTGTTCACGCGGGCAAAATCGCAAGCTAGAACTAAATACATATTTCGTTTATAACCGTGGTTTTTAACATCGGAAATAATTACTACATTATTATTGTTTGGTATAATTCAATTTCGTTTCCGAGTAGAGACGGATTACAGTAATATAGTGAACGGTGAAGATAAAAAAATGACGTCATAACCAACGCTGACGTAATTGCAACAATTTCCCGCTTACCAAATGAATTATTATTCGGAAATGGAACATCGTGATAAAATTTTGATTGATGGTGAATTACAATAAAAATATTAATGACTAGCTTTCGCCCGCGACTCCGTCCACGGGGATTTAAAAAATCAGTGAGTAGCCTATGTGTTCTTCAGGACTATCGTCTACATCTACACCAAATTTTATCTAAATCCGTTCAGCCGCTCTTCCATTTAACTTTCGCATATTATTATGAAGTATGATAGATCATTAGGACAAGATACTATTTATGACAGAGCCGAATAATCGATTTCTAAGATTAATTAACTTATTCTGTACCTATAGATTGGAATACAAGAATTGATCCATCGTCTTATAAACGATACGATTAGGTTTTTCTATTGCTAAT